ATGTTTAATTGGAATTTTGCAGACATTATGTTTAAATGCCAAAAGTAACTCCAAATTTATTTAAAGCTAAATGGGGGAGTGAAGCCCATTCCTTCGATTTCATAAAACCTGATGGTCGGCGAGGCTGGCTCCTGGGTTTTTGCAGACAGTGCTGAATGCATTCTGATGGCTGGCGCAGGGTGTGTAGTAAGGGAAGGCACGAAGGCGTTTCTCGGAAGAAGAGAGGAGCAATGCATTACAATATTTATTAAACTACCTACATGAATGGAGGCCACTTGAGTGGTCATTTCGCTTTTGCGCGGGTGGACTGGCCATTAAATCATATCCAAGCCTCACTTCTACTTTTTTTCGCCTGAATGCAAGCATTCAATTAATCTGAACGCCTTTTGTTAATGAACAAGAAGTCCGGAACATGGCACATTTGGTTTGAATAACTGTGATCCAGCAGTAATTGGATCACTTTCAAACTAATATGAGTGTAGTTACTTTGTGGATAAGAATAAAGGCAAAACACCCACTGTTCGCCATCCAATCACCATTCGCTCGACAGCAACTCGTGTTTCAATAACGTGCTCATTCTCCACAATCATGCGCGTCTGACTCTTCGTAGAGGGGCCATGTTGATTCTTTTGTTTGCCGGAACACGATGGTGTAGAGACCATAACGAGGTAGTTGTAGTTCTTATCTATGTGGAAGCGTTTCGAGCAATACTTTTGCACCAGTGTCATTGAAGGGTCAGTCAGGGTCTCGTCCTCCTCACTTGGATAGTAAATTATCTACCAAAACATTCACAAAATGCAAAGTGTTAGATACAAATTACTAACCAGATAAGAGGGCTTATTGGATTCAGAAAAGCTGACGTCGATGTCTATAATGTAAAAGAATCCCCGAGACTCGGTCTAAAACTCTAAAACATGGCGACTAAGTGCAACTGCATGCCGATTTTGTCGACAAGATCAGGCAAACATCACATTTGCCACCAGAGTTTGCAATTCTCATGTCGCCTTGACTTTTTAATCAAAGTTATGATATCAAAAGATTGTTTCGGCTGTCACCCAATCAACACTACTTGATATTTTAGTGAGACTTGTTTACATCTGTTGCAACGTAATTTTTAAGACAAAGGATCTCGGTGACACACCATAAAAACGGCTTTTCAGTGATGAGATTTTAAAATGCAGTAATGCACTTAAGAAGAGAGGATCCTTTCTACGCGTAATTTCGCGTTTTTTGTGCAAGGTAAGCCAGAATCAATGAGACAAGATCCATGAAGACTGTTTTGGCAGCATCATTTTTGGAGTAGGTCTGTCATTTGTAATAATGCACTACTACCCACAACTTAATCTGGGCATTTGAGAAAAGTGGAACGCAGCTTACGGAGGCGTTGGTATTAAAGAGATGTTTGAACTTCAGACTGTTCATAGGGGTGACGCCAATTGCAAGCATCTTATCCCCTCCGTAGGCCTCCACGTACTCTGCCACCGCCTCACCAGCAATTTTGCCTATTCCTCTATCCAAAGCATCGCCAATTATCCAACAGCCTGTTTTAAAAAATTCCAAATAAATTAAATGGCCTTATTATCTTTGGTTGGATACTTCATCAAATTTTGTGCAAATAACAGTTTTTGACAGATACATCATCTTTAATTGAACCAAATGTAATTTTGTTCAAGTAGGATAATTCTACCTAATTCTCGCAATACTAAGCGGGAAACGTAGTGTCGCTTGCAGTTCATCATACACTTTACCGAAATTCTTAAGACATTTAAATGAATAAAACGAATACGACACCACTTCCAAAAGCAACAAGTGGTTATTAATAATTCATCCACTAGCAAACTCAACCACTTAAACAGTCCGAGTTAGCGGCGACTTGTTCAAACGGCGCAATGACGTTTTTTGTACGATAAGTGGGCGCATGAGGTGCTGACACCGAGGCACCTTCACTTACCCACACTTTCCATGGTCTTCCAAAGGCCCTTCTTCATGGTAAAGTTGAAGCGTTTCTTTAGGTTAGCATAGGAGCCATGAACACTAATAACTAGCGTAGGTGGCTTGAGTTGCCAAGTTGACGAAAATACTCGCAGAATTTGCCTCCCCGTGGGCACTCTACTCACAGTCATGAACTAGTTGAAAAGTGGAAGGAAGCATTTCTAGTGAGAAGCATTTTCTGTATTGAATATCAAGAGTTCTTACAAATCCTACATCTTTTATGCATTTCCACCTACAGCTAAATTCTCTGCCCTACACAAACCAAAAAACGCGTTCGCCTTATGTAAAAAAGTGCTGCATAAATTAGATAAATAAATCTGTGGTCGGTTAA